AACTTTTCTATCATCAATCTTGGTTGAAAAGTTTCTTCATTGCAACTTTCGAAATCATTTCAAATATTTACAACGTGCAACTCAATTTACCCAAAATAAAATAACATATATCAATTACATGTATTATTTACAATGACACTTTGTTTGCTATGTAAGTGACCAATTAATATTATTAATTAAGGATTATTTTCTATGTTTTATACGAATATAAGACTAAATATAATTGAATTTTAAAAAGATAAATATATTTTTATAAAAAAGTCGAGGACGAAAAATATATTCAACCATTATTTTTTATATAATATTATTTTATTAATTTAAACTAAAGTATTAAAAAAATTACAATACAAAAAATTTATAAATAAATGAATATATAATTTTAATTTAATTATTTATTAATTTTTAATATAAATAATTTTCCTCCTTTTTATTTTACTTTTTTTTTCTCAAATCAACAAAAGTATTTTTTATTTTTCCTTTTCTTTTTCTCACTTTTTTTTCTGGCAATTCCGGGTCACATTCTCATCTCCTGTCCCACCTCACACTGCCACCACTTTCAAAACGTTGTTATTAAGTAGTTGGTTACGTAACATTTTAAAGCGTGTAAGCTAAAAAATGTGATTATGCGGTGGTTAAGTTACCTGACTTTTTTAAGGGCGCAGGTGTAAGCAAAAACGCCCCTTCGTACAAATTATAAACTTTTTATTTAAAGTGAATGGAAAAGATTTGTGGTCGAATATTCTCCTTCCAGATCTAATCTCTCGGGGACAAAGTCTTAAAAATAAATTCATAAATATTTATTTAATAACTTTATTATAAAAAAATTATGCCTAACAAAATTAAAAATTACAGATAAAATTAATAGTTGTAAAAGTCATAAACTATTTCCATAAACTCAAATAGTTTTGTAAAATATCTTCATCAAACACCGTTCCAAGATCAACATATACCGTCAAAGAAAATATAACTAAAAATTTGGTCAATTCCTTCTAATATATATCTTTTTAATGTGTTGTATTTTTCACCAAAAATTTAAAGGATGTTTTTTCAAAAACACTGAAATTTATTTAAAGAATCGATATTTTTTTTATATATATATACAAATCTAAGAATTTGAACCCCTAAATACTTAAATAATATTACTGAGTATTGCTTTTAGAATTATATCACGAATTATATTGTTTTTGTCTTGTGTCACGATTTTTTAGTCTACTCGAATAAAGAAAATATTGTTACAGATGACGTTGATGAAAAGAGACAACATGTGAAACACAGTTTCTAATTTTGTGTAGATGTTTTCATTTTCTATAATTTTTAATAAATATCAAAGCCTAAATACATTATCTAATTTCGTGAATATGATAGGATGTGTTTAAACTCCATGTGAGCATTTTAAAATAAATATTAAATAAAAAATACATTTTTCGATTTCATGGATATGATATTTTAAGTTTATGTTTTATGTTTATATTCTTTGATAATAAATATTAGATATTAGATATGAAACTAATTTTATAAGTCCATGAATGTGATAAGTTATTTTAAAATTAAATACATAAGTGAGATTTATTTTATAATGTTTAAGATTATATATATATATATATATATATATATATATATATATATAAAGATTTAAACATAATTTTATCATATTAAAGTTTAATACAGAGATGTTGGGAGCAATTGAAATTGCATCTTTTTAATGTTATAAAAAATATCGTGAAACGAAAATGGAATTTCGGCAGTTTTATTTCCCCTTACTAGTACAATACAAGATATACTCTGTAACAAAACTAACATGAAGATAGTCTTTTGTTAATTAAATTGTTAAAAGTTAGAGTTTTAACAATTGTTTAAATTTTTTCGTACTGATAAAAATATTTTATGATCATTTTTTTTAAATAATTTAATTAATTCATATATTTATTAAATTATTTAATTGATATTAACATTATTAGCCTTCGAAGAATCTGGCGTACCTAATTCCCAACTTGGAAACCACTGCAAACTGAAAAAAGTAAAAACAAAAATGTATTTTTACTATATGTATACTGTATACAACCGGATTCCCTTTTCATAATTATTTTTGGTATTATTGAAAAGAGAAAAAAATATTATGTATAATTAATAGAGAAATATCATGAGATATATCTAAAAATATTTTTTAATTAAAACCACTTTAGTTTCGTCGAAAAGAAAAGAAAGTATAATATGGAGAAAGAACCTGAGTGTATCTAAAGAATAAAAAGAAAAAAAAAATTACACAACAAATGTAGACACGTGACGTTTTAATGTCTGAATTTCTATTAATATATATAAAAACTGTTTCTCTTTGTAAACCGTTATGATGTCATTAAAGAGAAAAGAGAAAAAAATTGTTAACACATAATATATTATGATTTATAAAAAGAAAAAAATATTATAATTTATATATTTAAAAAATTAGTAAAAAGAGAAAAAAAAAGTGTGATATAATAAGTAAAAAAAAAGGTGAATACGTGTATGTTTTAGTATTTATGTTTCTACTAATAATAATGATAATAATAATTTATAAAAATATAATAATTAATTTTAAAAATATAAATTATTTTTAATATTGTTATTAATATATTTTATGTATAAATTATTATAAAAATATAATTATTTAATTGATTTTTTAAATATTAATATGTATAAATTTAAATTGCAAAAATTGAGGGCCAAGGCCCAAGGTCCCCCTAGCTCCGATCTGATTTCCTCTGTCCGCTGAGAAAATCAAACCACATAAATTTGTATTGGCGTGAAGAAGAGGATGTTGTACGTAACTAATATTTGAAAAAGGAAGAAATTAAATTGAATGGTCTAACGTTCTAGTCAACACCTCTTTAGTAAATTTCATAAATTTTATATCAATCCTTATTGTTTAAAGTGTGATCATATGTCATTATTGTTGATATTGTCTCAATTTTTTTTTAATCTATCTTTTCTTAAGTTTCAGGTAACATGATATTAGAAAAAACAATTAAAGGGAATTAGAATGATTTAGCACTTTTTTCATTCCTCTGCTTAGAAAATGGTAACAATTTTTTTTTACTCTTTATTTTTCTATTTATAAATTATACTATTTTATTTGTGTAATGTTGGATATTGCGACATCTCAATGATAAATTGGTCCCATTGTGGGATTGTGGACATTTACACATAAACGTTGAATCGGTAATAAGTCAATCATATGTAGGATCTGTAATAGGACAACTTTATATGTCACACAGAAGATGTGAAGTAAGACTGAGATTCATGGAAACACTAGTCTCAATTAATTTTGACGTGCTCTGATATATTATTGGGGAGTTATCACCATTTTAAAAAAATTAATCAAGAACCACCATTTATCGTAGACTTTTTATTAAAAATAGTTTCATTTGCTTAAAAAATAATCCAAAATATTATTTAGTAATATTAAATCCATTATTAGAAAACGATGTGATCATGGCAGCTAAAAAATGTTGAGCTGGCATCACGCTGATTCATTTTTTTTTTCTTGTAATTTTAATAAGCCAAGACTCAATTGCCGAGTCAGCAGAAACCGAGGAGATGAGAAATTAAGATCCCCTACCTCATTGATGTTTTATACTAACTGAATAAACTACTAGTGAAGGAAACTATGTTTAATGTATTAATAGTAGGGCGTGTGAAGGTATATATGATTTGTTCAACCCTAATAAAAGCTTCAAGATGAACTGCATGTTAGAGGGATATGGCATTGACCTAATGAAACTTCCCTGATCATAAAAATAATAATCATACTAAAAATTGAGGAACAAATAGCTTGAATGCGACAACAGGTTCTAGATGTTGATGTTAACTGCATGTTACAAGTAGTGATAATTATTTGTTTCGTATTTGTTAAAAAAACTAGCTCAATTTCAAACCAAACTGTTCACGATGGACGTGTTTCTAAATTGATTTTTCTTTTGGCTAAAGATTTGTCATTATATACAATAATTCAGTTTATTTTTCATACCTTCTCGAAACTAAAAGTGTTAAGGGATTTTAAACCAAATTTCTCTACTGATTCTACGTCACAGTGCTAAATAATTAAACCAATGTATGTAATATTACATAATAATGTTAGCCTCCTCAACTGAATGAAAAATTTCACAGTATCACGTATAAAAACACATGAAAAATAACGAATGAAAACCGAAACTCATAAAAAATAAAAATAAAAAACTAATATTGTGGAAGGCAAAATGTTGTTCCTAAAAAAGACAATCTCTAAAATAAAGCATCCAATTCCATTATGCATGTCTATCAACAATTTTATAAATAACTAATTCATTAGATTATGTAATAATGAAAGCTTATAAACAAACATAGAGATAGACAAAAAAAAAAAATATTCAGCAGATAATTAAGGAGCTAATTAATTGAAAATGTTTCAGAATGATGACACAAGTAACATTATACGTAGCATATTTTAATAAAGCCATCTGAATAATTAGATAATAATCATAATTAGAAGATATCTTAAACCTTTAACGTCACGAATGTTTTTATATACATCTCCTGATGTTTCCCCTTCTCTGGTTCGACTGAGAAGATCTTCAAGAGTAGTGGTGAATCTTTGTTGTTGCGGAGCGGAGCTATGACTCCCAATTTTATTTTATTTTTTTTCATTTTACTTTGTATTTATATATATATTACACCCCTAACTTTTTTCTTCGAGCTCACAGGGAAGAATAAAAGTTCTCGACTTTATAATAACAATACCAAAATATAATAATTTGTCACAAACTGAATAATTTCCAATTGATGTATCTATTTTCTTTTATGACAAGTATCTAATGCATTTTTATGTTTTTTAAATATTATATAATATGAACAAAAAATGATAGGAAAATATTAGATATATCATAGTCATGAAATTTCAACGCCCAAACTATTGATCTTCCATTAAGAAAAGGATAGGTTGTTGTCCTTGGGGACTGAAATTCTCTATAAATAGGAACTGGTCGTCCATGGCAAACAATGAAAGCACTACCACACTAAAAACCATAAAGGCAGCCATGGAAGCTCAAACCTACTTCTTGGGTATTGCCCTCTCCTTGCTCTTTCTATTGAATTGGCTTGCAAAATATTACAAGCTAAAACCTAATGTCTCTCACAAACTTCCCCCTGGCCCAAATACGCTACCTCTCATAGGGAACCTGCATCAATTAGCACTAGCAGGTTCACTTCCACATCATGCTCTCCGAAAACTTGCTCAAAAATATGGACCTCTGATGCAGCTCCAACTTGGTGAAATTCCTACAGTGATTGCATCCTCCTCCGAGATGGCCAAGGAAATAATGAAAACGCATGATATTGCTTTTGTTCAGAGGCCTCAATTTATATTTGGAGACATTTTGTCCTACGGGGGAATGAACATTGTTTTTGCCCCATATGGTGATTACTGGAGACAAATGAGAAAAATATGTGCATTGGAGCTTCTAAGCGCCAAAAGAGTCAAGTCTTTCTCTTCCATTAGAGAAGATGAGACAGCGAAGTTAATAGACTCAATTCGAAGATCAGCGGGTTCACAAGTCAATCTTAGTCATAAAATTTACTCATTGATAAGTGCTTCTGTTTCCAGGGCAGCATTCGGTGGCAAACATAAGGACCAAGAGGAATTTGTTCTTCCTTTACTGCGAAGAGTAATAGAAGCTATTGGAGGATTTGATTTTGTCGATCTTTTTCCTTCATTGAAATTCATACATTTCATAACTGGGAAGAGGGCTAAATTGGAAAAGTTGCAGAAGCAGGTTGACGAGCTCTTGGACAGAGTTGTCCAAGAACATCAAGACAAACGAAAAGAGGTAAAAGAAGGCGGGGTTGAGATAGAGGACGAAGACTTCGTTGATGTTCTTCTCAGAATTCAAGAAAATGACACTCTCGACGTCAAAATGAAGACCTCACAAGTCAAAGCTGTGATATTGGTTAGTAAAAACCGCAAAACACTCATAAATCTACCTGAATATGTCGCACGTTTTCATCTCCTTATTTTCCTTTGCTTTCCCATTACACAAAATTACGACAAAGTTATAAAATTTCGTTGTATTAACACAATTTCTCTCTTTTCATTTTACCAAATAGGATGTATTTGTCGCCGGATCTGATACTTCAGCGTCAGTATTAGAGTGGGCGATGGCAGAAATTATGAAAAACCCAAGAGTGAAGGAGAAAGCACAAAGTGAGATAAGACAGGCATTCAGAGAAAAGGAAACAATTCATGAAAGTGATGTTGAAGAACTTAGTTATTTGAAGTTGGTGATCAAAGAAACATTGAGGTTGCACCCACCTGTTCCTTTGTTGATCCCTAGAGAATGCATGGAATTAACCAACATTGATGGATACGAAATACCCAAAAAGACGAAAGTTATGATAAATGTATGGGCAATGGGAAGAGATGCTGAATATTGGAGTGATGCTGAGAGGTTTATCCCAGAGAGGTTCGAAGGTAGTTCTATGGATTTCAAAGGGAATAACTTTGAGTATGTGCCGTTTGGGGCTGGAAGGAGAATGTGCCCAGGCATGACATTTGGTTTAGCCAGCATCATGCTTCCACTGACTCTATTACTTTATCACTTCAACTGGGAACTCCCAAATGAGATCTCACCTGAGAATATGGACATGACTGAACAACCCGGTTTGGTTATTGGGAGGAAAAACGCATTGCGTTTAATTCCCTTTGTTTATCATCCATGACTGCATGTTTCATGTGTCCATGTAAGGTTACAGTTTAGGTGCCAAGAAAATAAAAGCCTTTGTTTTATACCATATAGTATGTACTGTCTATGTATTCCTGGAGTATATAACTTTACGTGTAAACAAACAGTTGGTATCTTATTAAACTAATATAATAATTTTGCCTTGCGTATTTTTCCATCTTAAAGTATAATTTTATATATTTGTATAACATTAATTTTTTGTATTTAAATCGTTCATGATTAACTTTATTTGGTTGAAATATTTAAATCAATAAAAAACAATTGGTTTGAATTTTATTTTATCCAAACTGATCCGTAAACAAACCTATTTTATAACGAAAATATATATGTAAACGAAATCAATTTAGTTCAATTTTTTGTTCCATTGTATTCACTAAAATTTATATAGTAAATATTATTCTCAACGGTCTTTTTCATTACATATAGATTAACAAGTCAAATGAAGAAAGATGTTGCAGACGTTGCATACATTATCAGAAAACCGTTGACTGGAATGGGTAAATAAGTTTTAATAATGATATATTGATTTTTTTATTTTCATATACAATCATTTTGATAACTCTTTTATAATAATATAATAATAAAAATATAATCTAAGAAATTATTATTATTATGTCTATAGTTAAATATGAATTTTTTTTTGTAATGTTCTATAAATTTTTCACATCGAATTCAAGGTAGTTGAAATTAGGTTGTGAGTAGGTGATATTTGAATATAGGGCAGAGGTGTAAGCCAAACAGAGTTTTTCTATTGAAATTATACATTACACAATATGCAGTTGAATAAAATCGTGCTTCCAGAATGTAATTGGTCGTTATAAATTTTTTTAAATTAAATAAATAATAGGAGAAAGTGAACTGACCATTAATGCGAGTTTGGATAAATAAATTCCTTCAATATTTATTCAATAAAATTTTATATGAAAATATATATGTTATATAAATATAAGTTTACTAAAATAAATTTAAAATTATAAAACAAAAATTATTTACAATATATATATATATATATATATATATATATATATATATATATATTCTTCCATCTATATCAAATAAATATATGTTAAAATTGATCATTCTTAAATGGTGCATGACAAAAACTATGGACTCGATCGTTTGAATATATTCAAGTCATAGATTCTTTACAGAAGATAAGTGAAATGTAAAGCTTCTATTTTTAGATGACAAAATAGGAGACATGTTTTCTAATTGCATGGATTTTAGGTTTTGTTTAAATTTCATATATATCATATTCGATAAATATTAAATAAGAAGTACATTTTCCAATTTCATGAATATGATAGGATATGTTTAAATTTTATGTTTATCATTTTTATAAAATATAAATACGAAATACATTTTTAATTTCACGGATAAGATTGAAGTTGATTTTACTATATAAGAAACATATTTAATAATTTCGTGATTATGATAAGTTGTTAAAAAAAATTCATGTTTGTGATTTTAAAAACCATTAAATAAGTTAGTTTATTGAATTTTATGAATATAAAATCTAAGCAAAATTTTATTACGCTAAAGGTTAATTAATGTATAATTGAATTGCGTCTTTTAACGAGGCACCACCCCTACAAATTGAACCATGAAAAATACTTTATTAAATAATAAATATTTTTAAATATATAATTCAACGTCTAGTTTAAAGCTACCTAACAAAAAAAGAGTGTATAAATTTGTTTACGGTACTAAAAGAAGTATTTGGTAATATACATATTTTAAATAGTTACTCCATATTACCCGCGTAGTTACGCATGGTTTGAAATAAAGAATATATATTCAAACCCTTTTTTCATTGTGACTTCGTATTTGCGTACAAGGGAGGATATAGTACGTCAGTAGTGATATTTGATTAAAGAAAAAAATGAAGAGAATGGTCTAATGTATTTAGTCCAACTTATTTTTTTAGAAAAGAAAAACATAAAATAAATTTAATCAATTTTATATAAATTCCTACTATTCAAATTGTGGTCACCGTCATCCTTCGTAATGTAAAAATATATAGAGATAGAGAAATATGTATAAAATATATAATATTAGGATATCACAAGAAAGAGTAGAAGTTTGTTACGAGTGTAAGAAAAAAATAATTTGAAATAAAATATTAGGAATGCTCAAAATATAAACAGTAAAAAAACTAAAAATTTATAAAAATCAAATTCGAATTTTTATTGAATTTCTATTAAATAGTATAATTTGATACAAATTTTTTTATTGAAAATATAAACGAATCAAGTCAAATTAAATTATTATATTTAAATATCATATTATATATTTAAAATTAATTACCAACTAACCATTTTTCTTATATTTCTTTTAGATTTATTTAACAAGTTTATAATAACAAAAATTGTAAAAAATAAATCAAACCACACCAAAATATAATTTAGTTTAATTTAATTTAAATTTATATTAATTAAAGCCAAATCAAAACAAAGTATATTTAATTCACGTGATTATTTAATAAAAAATTTAAATAAACGGAAAAAAACTCAATCAAATATGGAATATGAAAGTAAAGTAAAAAAAGTAAGAGATATTATATAAATTAAAATTGTTATTTTTAACTTTTTTTGTGCTTTTTATTTTATTTTTATGTTAAACTATATAATTTTGATTCATTTTCTTATAAGATATAAAAAAATCTAAATATTATTTAGTAAAGTTAATCTATTATTAGAAAATGATTTATACAATATTTGATAATGGTCCATCAACAAGTAGTCTATCGAGAATATATAGTTTATCCTTCGAGAAAATATATTCATAGTCTACTGATAGTTTATCAATGATCAATCGATAGCCTAATAATGATTTATTGATAGTTTATCAATGATCAATGGGTATTTTATCTTTAGTCTATCAATAGCTTATTGATGATTCATCAGTAATCTATAGATAATTCATCGATAGTCTACCGATGACTCATTAATAATTTATCAATAATCCGTCGATGAACTAGCATTGCTAATGATGGGTTATCGTTGGTTTACCTTTGATAAATCGTTAGTCTACCTTTGATAAATTGTTAGTCTACCTTTGATTAATAGTTAGTCCACCGATGGTCTATTGATAACCTATCGACAGTCCATCAATAACCAATTGATTGTTCATTAATAGCTGACTGATTTTCTATCGATAGTCAATTAATGGTCTATCGATAGTTTAGCCATAATCTATTGATACCCTACTGATGGTCCATTGATAGCTCATCAATGATCATCTCCATCATGACCCATCCATGGCCCACAAATGCTCCATCCTCAATGACTATCAATAGAGCATCGCTAGGCTATATCAATAGAAAATTAATAGGCTATCAACGTTTCATCGGTATACTATCAATGAAATAAACTATCTATGAACATTCGATAGATCATCGGTAGGTTTTTGATAATCCATCAATAAGCTATTCATAGAGAATCGATAAATTATTAAAAGATAATTTATAAACTATAGATAGATTATTGATAGACTATCGTTAGTCTATTAATAGACTAATAAACTATTTATTCTGGATAGACTATTAATAAATTATTTATAGACTTTTAATAGAATATTAATAAATTATTGATACACTATTTATAGAAAATTGATAAATTATTGGTCTATTGATATACTATTTATAAATTATGAACAAACATTAAAAAAGACAATGTTGATAGATTAAGGATAAAATATATTGACATAATATTGATGACTATGATAAATAATTAATATATTATTAATAAACTATAGATGTATTAATATAGTATTGATTGACTATTACTATATTATTGATAGATTATTAGTAAATTAATAATAAATTATTATTAGACTATATATCTATTGATATAATAGACTATTAATAGATTATTAATTGATAGACAATTGATAAATTATTAATTTGTCATTAGAATATTTTGGTATTGAAAGATTATCAAGAAACTATGGATAGTTTATTAATAAACTATAAAAAATAATATTGAAATAAGTTATATAAGACTCTCTTCAAATCTCCCTTTAATTAAGGTATTTATTATAATATGGGTAACTAAAAATCCTTTAAAATTGTAAAACTAGAATAAAGATGATAAACAATATTTTGAAAAAAAAAAAGATGATGTATTATTGATGGAAGAATTTTTCATATAAATATTATTTAATAATAAATTATCATTCTAATTTTTAATATTAAAATAATTAAACTTTATATGTATATATATATATATATATATATATATAATATAATAAATATATAATCATAAATAATTTATTATTATCATAAATTATGTAACAAAATATTAGTTCACTTATTAAACACCAAAATATAATATAATCATCATAATAATGACAAATCTTAGAAGTTCAGAATTATATATATATATATATATATATATATATATATATATAATTTTTATTTGATAATAATAAGATTATAGATACAGAAATAAATATTTTAAATATTTGATATGATAAATGAAATAAAAAAAAATAGATAGACAGAAATGTAACTGTAAAATATATACTGTGTTTATTATATTTGTCCCTCTTTAAATATTGGGCCCAGAAGGATCATTCTCAACCAAAAATACTTTTTTTTTTCGTTCCCAAATTACTCTTTCTCCTTAAACACATCATAGCATACTTTATACTTTCATTTTATGCATTGTTTCATGGGTTGATTTTACTGAAAAATCATCATTCAGATTAAATTTGCTTCCATCCTCAGCTATCTTCACTCATTTCTTTGGGCCCATTTCTTTTGTTCATGTAAAAAACTGTTCATCGTTGCAAAATTCAACACATTTATATATAATAGGAATTTTAAAGGAAACAGCTCTTAGATATAACTAACTTTTGTTTTTTTATATGTAATAATACTATGATAGAGCTTTGAGTACATACATTGAAGAAACACAAATAAATGTAAGTTAAATTAATAAGTATCATACAATAAATGGTAAAATAACTATATAT